TGATTTGTGGGCCAAAAACATCAAACATTTCGGGAATTTTGGACGCCATTTCCCCGCGCTATATCCGCAACAATCCATGCAGCATGTACGCGCGTGTACCGCACATGATGGCCCAATTTGTTCTAAAAATAGAAAAATTGTCCCATATCATAGGGACAGCCCCAATACTAGAAATAGCGCGCGCTTACGCTCTCCGTCCCCGATTATGGCTCCTGGTGGTACTTCAATATTTTCCGCTTGTCGTTTGCGGTCAGCAACCATCAATCCTAACCTCATTTTTAAGGCCCCAGGGATCCAGCCTAGAGAAACCGAGGAAAGCGAAGAAAAAGAATAAATACATATTCCCAGATGTAGTTTGAGCTACCAGTGAACACTATCGCAGTTCAGTAGTTCAGTAAAGGTTTGGTTTTAGAAAATAATTCTCTTTCTCCAACTTCTGATCCCAAGGCCACAGATCAAACTAAACCCATAATTCAATATCTTGGCCGTTTAAACCTGAATTATTTATAACCTTGTACTATGGAACATTCTTACCTGGAGGCAAGTTTCCACTTCATGCCGCTTATTCCAAACGTGCTGCCACAGTTAAAACCCAGCCAGCCCCACCATAACATGAAGGTCCCCAAGAGAACATTTGTAGGANCATGTACGCGCGTGTGCCGCACATGATGGCGCAATTTGTTCTAAAAATAGAAAAATTCTCCCATATCATACGGACAGCCCCAACGCTAGAAATAGCGCGCGCTTACGGTCTCCGTCCCCGATTATGGCTTCTCGTGGCACTTTAATATTTTCCGCTTGTCGTTTGCGGTCAGCAACCGTCAATCCTAACCTCATTTTTAAGGCCTCAGGGATCCAGCCTAGAGAAACCGAAAAAAGCGAAGAAAAAGAATAAATACATATTCCAAGATGTAATTTGAGCTACCAGTGAACACTATCGCAGTTCAGTAGTTCAGTAAAGATTTGGTTATAGAAGATAATTCTCTTTCTCCAACTTCTGATCCCAAGGCCACCCGTTGCACAGATCAAACTAAACCCATAATTCAATATCTTGGCCGTTTAAACCTGAATTATTTATAACCTTGTACTATAGAACATTCTTACCTGCAGGCAAGTTTCCACTTCATGCCGCTTATTCCAAACGTGCTGCCACAGTTAAAACCCAGCCAGCCCCACCATAACATGAAGGTCCCCAAGAGAACATTTGTAGGAGAAGCCATTTG